TGGGAGCCGTATGTATTACTGGTACGCTCTCCTCTTCAGATAGCTGAGTGCATCTTTTCTAAGCATAAATATTTCTTAGATTTCTCGATCCCCTCCCTTCCGTCGGGATACCGCTATTCGGGTCCTAGCACAGAAAACGCGCTCGACTGTGTATGCAATACCGTGTATTACTCCGTCCTGAACGTGTGTGCTGCTTGCCAGAGAGGTGTTGTGTCAACGTAAGTTCCCTTCGTCAGTCCTTCAGGATCAAGGATTAATGGTGGTGCACTGATAGCTGGAGTGACTACAAAACTAATTGTACGACAACGTATCAGACGTACGTTTGTTGGATTTCTGTCGGGAATAGGGGATAATCTCTTTGCGTGCTTGCAGGTTTCCGGAAAGTATACCCAACGGCACTGCCGTACCGCACTATTCCTATCAATCCCTTTTACCAAATGGCACCTTCGACTTTGCTGGTGCCGTGGTCGATACTGGTCCTGGGGCGACCTACATCGCGTCCAGTACCAGCGCCTCGTTGACCAGTGCTTCCAATTCACATTCTTCTAATTCTCCCCGATCCGACCCTACGACAGATGATGTGTCAAGCTCTACTGGCCCGAGCAGCAACACTGGCGTAATCGTCGGTGGGGTTGTTGGAGGTGTTCTTGGCTTAGGGATAATCTCTGCTTTGATCTTCTTCCTCGTGCATCGTCGTCGCCATCCTGCTGCCGTCGCGACTACTGGCCCGATTGGGGCTGATATGTCACTGCCCATGCCATCCTTCGCGGGTGAGAACCTTACCAGGTCGACGTACGCATCCACTGTATACAATAAAGTTTATGTGAGTCAAATGTTGCTAATTTTTTGCTATTGAGCTCCATCTGTATAGGACCCTAACGATTCGTCCACTTTTCCTTCTGCCGACGGCGTACTTTATAGCCAGCAGAAAGTTCCTGCAGGTTATCCTCAGTCGTATGCCCCAATTTCGCCATCATCTCCCTACTCAAATATAAATATGATCCCCAACAGGTATTCACCAATACAGCCAGCTGGTACATCACCTGCGTCTACGTATCGTGGTATACCTGAGGTTTGAACTCCAACTGCAACGATACAGACCAAATGCAGAGTTAAATTAGGGACCAAAATTGATAGGAATGGATGTTGACAATGAGTATGGACATTGCATTGCCTCTCGTAGTATATTTATGTTCGAAGGTCGAAGCAATATGAGTAAATGTAGCGTTACTGAAAAGCTGTCATAAAGAGTTACTTTGTTCACGACAGATGCACTGCTAGAGTCAAAGACGGCGCTCCCCCCGCGTCTTCCCTCTCAAAAATGTCAACCTGGGCTGGTGAACAACGCCTCGCTCTACCTTGCCCCGGCCCGACATACCGGGACTTGTTGGATACACGTCCCTCTGATTTTCGACGAACGACGACACCGACGTGGAAGGTATGGAGTCGTGTATGCGTAGAGCGTACCAGTGTCTCAACGACATCCGCGACTGTGACCCACTTTCGATTCTCTGACCTCTGGATTACTATTGGCTACAGAAGCTTTGAGTGGACTATAGCCAGTGAAGGAAGAGGTGGATGGGTCGCTGTCTCATCTACGCAGCCCTCGTGACCAAGAACGCGTATGCTCGACAGACTGCGAGCAAAGTCGAGCTTTATTATCATCTCTCTGTGGCTCGGCCGTAACAGTGGATGTACAACTGTCGGGCTGCCGTCCTCTATTTGGGACGGGAGCTGGATATAGCGATGGCTCGGTTTACCAGGAGCAAGCGGCGAGGACGACGTGGTGTATTCCCGTACATGTTCTATAAATGACGCATCGGGACTGGATGCATAGCGGCAACAAATGGGGACCGTCGTGGTCACCAGTGCGTCGCTATAGATAAGAATAGCAGGAAACGTCCTCGACGAGGTGTACAATGCCGTCGATGGTCGTATTGTCATCGTTGGCATGTTTTCTCGTCGGGCATGCATCGTCTTCACGCGACCGCTGTTAGTCGTCGAAGAAATGGCAGAAGAAAGGCGTACAGATGAATAGGGGGGCTTTGATTTGCTTGAATAGGCGCGAACGTCAGAGGAGGGACACGGCGTGGAATGGCGAGAGCAGGTGATGGTGATGGTTTGAGAGAGAGATGTAGGAGCCTGGGGGAAGGAAGGGGCTGCTTTATATATGGTATGTCCCCCTCCGGATATCGAACGTAACCCTACCCTTACTTTCCTTAGGGTTAAGGCCGTTCCGTGTTCATCACATTCGGCCAGTGTACGTATGTATCATCACCGTACCTTTCTGGATGTAATCCAGGGCCCTCTTTGGCTTGGTGCTATTACCTCCCAGGCCTTTTGCAGCCTTTCCATGCTCTCTTCCGAATGGAATACCACCCAGTGCGTACCTGAAGGAAGAAGTCTTTTGTGTAAACTACAAGCTCGATACGGCTCATTTGTGAACACTGAGGAGCCTGCGTGCCTGTTTTGCAAGGGATGTCTTAACACCAGACGGCCGGCACCCGAGAGAAGTTCAAAAAGGAGTGCATCTACCCCTAACCATCCTCTCATCGGTCAAGTCATCGTCTACTATCCGTTCGAATATCGAGGTAAATGCTCTCCACTTATACATTATTTCTTATATCTTATCTTCGCTGTAGATGCCAATCTCTTCCCATTGTCCCCGATGCAACTACAATCGACAAAATCTCCTTTCGCCCAACTATAATATCCTGACACCTTTGCGAATGTATGAACTACTGAATTCGAATGAGCCGCCTATTCGAACTGAACACGTTCAGCTGGAAAATGCAATCAGTCAAAATCATGGTGTATTAGCGAAGTTGCAAGATCAGATATCCGAGGCAAGAGCAGTGCTGGATGGACTTTTGGAAGAGGAGGCACGCATTCAAGGCACGATTGAATCATGCAAGACGATCCTCCACCCTATTCGTGGAATTCCAGAGGACGTTATTCGCGAATTCTTCATAGCTTCTTTGGACGCCGATGAGGAGCGAAAAGATTCACTGAATGGAAGTTTTGCGCCTTTGGTTCTTTCGCAGGTTTGTAGAGATTGGAGAAATATCGCTTTGTCTACTTGTCGACTATGGTCATCCCTCAGACTGGATTTTGGCCTGTATCGCAACGACATGGCGCATCTCTATCTCCTTCAAACATACCTTCTGCGATCTGGGATGCACGATATCACGCTCTCAATATGCAGCGAACAGTATCTCTCAAAGAGTCATCTCACGCAACTCCTTATTTTGAGTGCCCCTCGTTGGACCGATCTGACCTTGTCCATTACCTATCAATCTATACATACCTTCTCCGCTGCCAGAGGGACCTTCCACCGATTGAGCCGCCTTTCGTTAGAAGTCATTGGCCCCATTCCGAGGGCGCGCGCGAATCTGGCCAGGTGCACATTCGACGCCTTCGAGTATGCCCCAATGCTTCGTAGATTCACCCTACAACGCATGTGCGCAGCCATTGAAGAGATAAGCCTGCCATGGTCTCAGCTCAGCGAGTATGCTGGCGATGACTGGATGAGCTCGTATATCGATATTTTCAAACGCGCACCGGATATGGAGCGCGCATCGTTGCAATGCGACGGTGAATCGGAATATTATGACGAAGATCATCCGTCACTGTCCCATCAGGGCCTTCGTGTTCTTCATTTGCACGAAGCTGAAGATCCCACAAATGCACGCATCCTTTCCGAAGGAGGGATTGTCCGTCTTCTTTCATATTTAGAGTTTCCGTCTTTGGACTCTTTGAGCATGTCATACATGCATACTTCTATTCAGATTCCTCGTACTCTGCGGGGATCGACAGCGAGCAGTTTGAGGTCTCTCTCCATTTACTCCCCGTTTGTCGTTACCGCGAAAACACAGGCTAATCTTCTCCGTCTACTCCAAACAACGCCGTTCCTTTCCAGCTTGTCGATGTCCTGTCGATTTGCACCTGAAGGGGATGAGAATGATGGGATCTTCATCGGACTCGATGCCAATATCCACCCTGATGTACTCCCAAATCTGTCGGCGCTGACGATCCGGTTCATAGTAAATATGCAGCCATGTCTGTCGCCGTTATTCATTGATATGGTCCATTCTCGGAGGCATGCCGCACCTTCGCGGGCGGCATTGCAGACACTTCATTTCCTTGCGCCGTTTGTCATCGTGCCGGCTCATACTGATGCGACCGCACGCTGGAAGGGGATGTGCGATGAAGGTCTCGTAACATTCAGCGAGCATCCGTAATCGAACCTCCTTCGAATTTTGCATCATCATAGTAGTGTCTATTGTATTGTACACCATGACGGTGCTTGTGCTGTTCAAATCATTAAATTCATCACAATTGGAAGGATACAGAATCTCAATGGATGCAAGGGATGACAACTCGGCTCGAAGGTCAGCAACAATAATGGAGAAGAACCAAAAAAAACTTGACAGAGAGCAGCTTCAAAGGACACGAGAATCTCAGATGATAAATGAGTCCGAAGGTACGGTAGTGGGACACGGCATACTTTCCTCTCGAATGGAAGGTCATAGAATGCGAATGAATGGAAGAGGAACTAACGCAAGATACTACTACTAGTTCATGTATCTTGTATGGACAGACACCGTTCAGTTAATGAGGAGCAGTACCTTCCTAGCATGAATTAATGTTGACTGTTTTGACGATGGTGCGTGTGGGCTCATTGCGGGTAACATGATTGGATCGCGATATGAGAGCGGTCACTAGAAAAATGGCAATAATAGACCTGAGAGTGAGTGCGAGACCGGGGGCCACTATTAACTAACAATTTACTACTAAAGCTAGAGAGACGGACAAGTCCGGATTGTTCCCTAAGCCAGAAATGTTCGAGCCCGAATATGAAGCGATTCATAATTACCTGAAACACTTGTTCTCCAGAGAAAGTTGACAGAGGCGGATAGAAAATTCGCATTCATTGCGAACGATTTGTCGTCGCGGCATTGGGTAATATCGGGTTGGCGTATTGCAGTAGATGATGGTAAGCCCGCCTAGCTCAATCGGATAGAGCGTCAGACTCTTAGAATGCCAGGCGGTCGGTATACGTATCTGAAGGCTGCGAGTTCGACCCTCGCGGTGGGCTATCGAGTTCTTTAGTGTGTCATGTTTTTGCCGTTTTGCCTAAACTAAGTGTGTGTCACGGACGACGGTTCACCCACCCACCTTGTTACAGTGCGAAGTCGATATCCATTACAAAGACAACTCAGAAAAGCGGTCGGGAAGCGAGAAGGACGTGTGAGGCACTGATTACAACGATGATGGATATATACTGTTCGGTAGACAGCGTGGATGCAATTAGCATGTTTGCGCTAATTAATATCAATCTCTTGCCGCTGGTCGATAATCGAGCGGAAGAAAGACACAGCATCGTAGGATTGAATAACAATCAAGCACGCATTGCGTTATTCTTCCGCCGATGACGGTCGTGCATCGACATCATTGAGCGTGCTTTGATACGAACTGTCAGGAAATGTCTTTACTGACAGTTTCTCAGCCATACACGGAGGAGCCCTCCAAGCTATCTTGTCGCAACCGTTAGAAGTAATATCACGTTTCGAGTTTAAAAACAGTGGGTCAGTAAATATCGTCACTCTATGCCAAATATAACAAAACTTCTACCACAAAGCTCTGTCCACCGGTCAACCAGTCCATCAGGTTGTGATGACATGTCAAACGGTACAGATAAACGAAGAGTCTCCAAACGGGTCCTCCTAGACTCAACGAAATCGACGAAAACACTCCACAGATCCGGGCGCTCGCTTAAGATGCGGCAAGTCAACGATCTAAGACCAGGAACGACATCCGGATTGACATTGATGTTAAGTCTAAGAAGAATTGCGTTCTCTTCTGGCGACATGGACATGGACATGGCCGGGAAAGATGCGTAAGTCAAGGTGTCATCCTGAGGAGACTAAGTAAATCAATCTGGGCCTCAATGGAAATCGTGCATGGTACATCGATGGAGAGGATCCTCAAGTTACCACTGCAAGGAGAACTAGGAATCCGAATGTGTGGATGCCGGTAAAGTATATTCCGGGTCTCTAGAGCAGGACATTCGACATAGGAAAGAAGATGGACGATACCCCCCTCCGAGAAGAATTCCACGCCCTCAGTCAGTCCCTCCTCTTGAACATGAAGTCTACGAAGCCCACGATGGCAAAACCGATGGGGAAGTGGCAGATCATAGACGGAGTCGTCTTCACAATGCAAAGATGCGCCCTCCATATTCGGCGTCAGCTTGAACATCTCGATATATGAGCTTGTCCAATCCCATCCGGTATAATAAGTGAGTTGTGACCATGATATATTTATCCGGTTAAAAACGTTGAAAATACTTGTGTGGGAGAAGTTACAGAGAAACAGGGCGTATTCGAAGGCGTCGAATTTAGGTTTGACCTCAGGTCCGGAAGATATTTTAGGGTCATCCGTAAACCTCAGACGGAGACTACGTAGGCGGCACAGAGTCCCTCTGACAGCAGAGAAATCGTGTAGTGATAGGAATGGAATGAAGAGACAGATATCCACCCATCGTGGGGCACTCGAAGGAAGAACAGGGATGACGTGGTTATTTGAGAGTGTGACTCTGTGCTGTGCAAGGATAAAATGATATCCTGAGTCCCAGACCGCAGCAGGTATATCTGGAGCACATGCAGACATGCCTTTTCATCTCGGTATTGATCAAAATCAAGTGAAAGGGACGACCAGAGCCGGGACGTTGACACCGCAACACTTCTAAGCACCAATGGCGGAGATTCCCCATCCAACGAGTCCTTTATCTCTCGCTCATCAGTATCCAAACACGTCAAGAAAAATTCCCGAAGGATATCCTCTGGAACGCTACGAATGGGACGTATGATTTCTTGCAAGATTCAACAAGACGTTCAACGCGTTTCTCTTCATCCAATAATTCTTCGAGCACGGCACGTGTTCGAATTATTCGTTCCTTTAGACCGGACAAAAAAAAGTGGCCTTCGCCGATAACGCTCTCCGGGTCAACATGCTCCGCTTGCAATGGTGCGGCATTTGATTTGAGCAATTCATCGAATCGCGACGCTGCCAGGTCAAGACCGTGGAACGAAGGTGGGTCGCCTTGTTGATGGAAAACACATTTTAGGCACTGAACAGGGGCCGCCATCTATAGGTATGATAAGAGACAGAAAAAAGGACCATGTCAAAGGTTCGCCTCTTTGGTGTGATGATTGGGTGTGCCAAATTCGAATGGCGTATGTAAGAGTGGTGCAACAGAATTTGTCGAGGACAGAAAAGTCTGTTCCCACGCCATCAACGATATGCCCGGGCCGGGATTCCGTGGCTTCACTTGAGTTCTTCCGCCTTCACCCTGAGCTATTTGACAAAATGAACTTGCGTGACACTAAGACACACTCTGCATGACCGAGTTGACTGAGATAATGCATGATAACAGTGCGTTACGATTTTGTGGAGAACTTGAAAGGCTTATCAACCGTAGCCGGCGACCGGCGACTTCTTCAGTATACACAGGACAACACATACTTACCAGCAGCTCTGTAGTTCGATGCTCTACCATCTCCCACAGCTACGAAGATTCTCCAAAACTAATCGGATAGACCAATCGAGCTCTTTTCAGGTTCAAGTTCTGTGAATTTCGTAGAACGGATTATGGATGTGGTCGATGTATACGACTAAATCTTACAGGAGTGTTGGTGACAATGAGACTGCCTGCCATAATTCCGAGAACATACCCCATATGATGCATTTTGCGGTAGCCGTGCTATGGTTGCTGATTAGAGTCGGGAAAAAAGTTCTTTTTTATTCACGGGCGAGTCGTCGTCGTGACAGAATTCTGTCATTGATTTTTTCATCAGATATTTAAAATGGCAAAATGTACGAACATCGAGCTGAAGCGCAGCTCAGACCTAGGAAAGCAGGCCAGGGACTGGTCCGACGTTTATATTAATAATTCATCCCGACGGTATTACAATGATCGTTCACTATTATTTATTCCCAACTTATAGCTCGGTATTGATTCAGACGGGCGTGGACACTGCAGGAATTTTGCTGGAAACCAATCAGCGAGTATCCACTGATCATTGGTGGTGATACTAGTGACGACGGGATCGTGGAAGATGGTATATGAACGTCTTTTGAGGCGGATCTGTTATCTTTGCCTGAGGTGTAGGGTGAACCAACATCGAATATGATGAGCCTTGCGCATGCTATCAGCAATACAGAAGCGGGTGTCCACGAATCCCGTGGATAAAATTGCGGTGTTAACATACCTTCTAAACCCGTCACAGGTACCAGCGTCCCACGAGCCCCAGTCGGAAGAGGATGCGTGGACAGCCCTGGTGGGCGTTATGCACCCATTGCATCTAGCGCAATTATTTTTCCAATGTCATCAACTCAGGAACGGACACAAATGTTGGCGACCGTCATGGAGGCAGACGATGACTGAGGTGCTGCCATTGTTTAGTAGGAGCTGGAATGATAGTGTTCACTACGCAGAGGAGACATATGCTGACTGGTGTCATTCTGGAGCCTTTATTGAATCGGGTTATGTGTGGGGATTGGCTAAAGGAATGCCGGAGGGAAAATGCCGACAGGGAGAGTTATCTGTCAAAGGAACCACTACGGTGCATGAATGTTAGATAGTGTGGTGGTAACTTATCGACCAGACCCGTGGCCTACCTGTACAATCAGTGGAGTACACCCATCCAGGTACGCCTCCTGCTCTACGGGCGAAGTTGAGTCCTTATCCCGCTCCCTTTGACGCTCCAGCATAGAAATGTCCATTTAGAAGTTCCTATCCTCCACCGTAAAAGCATCATCATCGTCGTCTGAGCTGGAGATCATCTAAAATGCATGCGGTGAATTGCGGGTCACCATGTGACATTCGAATGGGCCGTCACTTATCCTGTTGGCCAAACTTTCACACATGCAGCTGAATGTCTGGGAGTCTGAAAGCTGATCAAATCGAGGGATCGGTGGTCATCGAGCAAGTCACCGAATTCAATGGGGAAGCCTGAGCAAAGGTTTTTTTTTGCTGAACAGTTCAATTTCATGAGCGGGATACTTATTTGCGAGCCCAGCTGGGACTCTAAGTGTGGACGAGGTTCCAAGGTAAGTGGCCGCAGATGAGGAAGAGAGCGGTGTGAGCTAAGGACTCGAGGTCATCGCGTGGAGCAATATCTATGACGCAAGAATCAATGTCAGTACTACCAGGGAAAGTACAGTGCAGTGACCTACTCCAGAGTCCCGTGTGAGAATTCAGGCTTGCCTAGTAAAGAATCCCGACTAGGGTCTTCCGACCGTTATGGTTCAACAGGTCGTACTTGTTGGGCAGACCATAGGACACCGGCTTGGAGATTCCAAAGTCAAAGATTTTGATCGTCAAATCGTCAAGTCCGCAGAGAAGGCTTTCAGGCTTACTAATGTCACGATGTAAAATTCCGTAGTGCCCTGCCAGCTGTGCGTCGGGGTCAATGATTTCAGAAGGCTCAATACGCGTTTTAAGCACGCACTTGATCCGCAATTCGGATGTCGGTCTTCAACATCAGACCAGTCCCAGGATCGTACTTCTGATCTGCGACCGGATGTCCATAGCGGTGTATTCAAAATGCTCCATGCCCGTATGCATACACAACGAGAATGGCCGCTTGCTCTTTCAAGAGTTGATGACGAGAGGATCATGCCGGAGTATAAGTCCCTTCACTCTCGCCGAAACACCGAACATTTCTAGCACAATTTTTCCGGATTCTAGTTCTGTCGCCTTGAATACGTTGGTCTATTATTCAGGTTAAATTGAAATACCAGACGAATAGTTGGCGAAGGAACAGAAAGCTCACACAAGCATCCTGATCCAGCAACGCTTTACCGCGGGGAACACGCCTCTAAATCAACGTCATAGTCGAGAAACCGTAAATATGGCTTGTAAAGATACTTAATGTGAGAGAGTAGGTGCTTCCCCAAAACGAGGTGATTCGACGAAATTTTATGAAGCTGGCAAGACTTCCAATCACTCTCAATGTATCCGATGATCCTGAGGGGGAGTGCCGGTCATAAGTCACCGGTAAAGAAGACTGATGATTCCCACGCCACTGACGC